TGATAAAACCGAATTATTAAAACCGGATTCAACCTCGCTTCACTCACTCTACGATTTGCCAATCATTATAGAAATTAACTCGTTTGTTTTGATATTACTGTATTAGTTATATTTACAATGATTACGTAATTTATTTTTTAATATACCGATAAATTATTTCAGTAACTCGTGTAACGATATTTTGTTTTATTTTACATCTTTTTTCTCATTAATTTTTTTCCTTCTCTTTTTTCGTACAAACTTTTCGCTTTCGTATATATAAACAAACTTTTCGCACACAACGTACACTCTCCCTCCTCTTTATACAATGCTCAGCAGAAGTGGTAGAGTCAGACGATCAAACCGGGTAACAGGTCGCGAAATAAACCAGGTAGGCATGTTTTTTAATAATTAAGCACTTTGGATTACTTTTATCTGGCTGGCTAGGTGTTCGTGCAATGACACACTCTTGGTCAGCTACTTGACACGGTTGGTTTATGGCGGCATTGCATAAAGTTAACATACTGCCAAAAGTTATCTTTGCTTGGCTACTTAGGCGTTAGTGCAAAGAATCGATGATTTCAATGACGACAATCAGTAAAATCAGTAATTTCTCGCCGATATGATCTACTAATTCTGATGAAGGAATTGTTTATGTTAACTTTATACATCGTTGGGGAAACTTTGTATAATTAATTTGACTTGGGGGTTGTTAATGATTGACTCCATTTTTAATAATAATATAATCCGGAAGAATCAATAGAGCACTCCATTATCAGCCACAGTTAACTTACAATTAAAATTTTTTTATTTAGGATACTGAACCAAGTTCTTACAATAACAATGCGGTTTATTGATTGAAACTGCTTTTTTTTTTTTTTTCCTTTTGATTAATATTTAACGTCTATATATATATATATAATTACTAGAAGGACTGGCTTGACATCCTCATGTCGTCCGTGAATGTGGTTAAAAAATCATGTGACATAGTAGGTACTATTATAATTATAATAATTATTATTTTTAAATTAATTTTCTCAATTAATAAATATTAAGCTCCAGCGGCAATTAGAACAAGCAGAAGAACAAAAAAGAGGTATTAAATTTATATAATCGTAGATAATTATATAAAGACAAGTATACTAATATAAAATGCATTATAGAACTTTTAAGGAAGCTCCAAACCATCGAAGAAGAAAAACGGAGTCTAATGATCAGAATCCAAATGTACATACATTAGAGGAGATGGTTCATCAGCTGCAGCGTGAAAACGCAGACAAGGACAAAACTATCGCATATATATTAGCGATTATTCAATCAAATCGTTAATTTTATCCACATGGCAGTTATTCTGAATTTGTTTATATTCTGAATTTTATTTGGGTGAAATGCAATATATTTTAATAGTGCACAATATAGTGATAGTTATATATACACCTGACTAATGTTTTTTTATAAAATATAAGAATATCAATGGTTGTTAATGAAAAAAATAACAATTTCCTGGACATAATAATGAATATGTTAACCACGAATATAAATAGTGGCAGAATTTAAAAATGGCAATCTTAAAAATCAGAATCGTTGTTATAATTTTATTTTTGGATTCTACCATCTATAGATGTTCAAAAACTTCTGACATAATTATTCCGAAAGTATAAATATCTGATTTCTGAGTATATCCCTTTCCATTTGCATATAGCAATATGGAGAAACACACTAACAAAGTTCTTTAGAATTTGAGTCTTGTGATGTAAGCCAAAATCAATATATAGTGTAAGAACTACCGTTGGATACCGTTGGCCACTGCATACAATACACCAAAATAACATGATTAAGATCGGGTATTACTCATCACCTCTACTGGATTGTTTTTCGAATAAGACCCGGGTACATCTATATTAACCTACTACTTTTAATATAATATATCCAAACTATAGTGCTCGGTTCTTCATACAGTACCCATATTTAGTGATTGTAGTCAATTTGGATTAGCCAATAAAATCATCTTAACCGACTAAGTCAGTCGAATCTGACTTAGTCGATTTTTTTTGATTGAATATATACTGTAGAAAATTTTAGGAAAACTAGATTTTATAATCGTAAGTTGACGGAAATTTTCGGGCTTTATTATTTCAAATGCATACTACCCATATTATAGGAAAACATTCATATTATTAGCTAATTTCTATAATGATTGGCAAATCGTAGAGTGAGTGAAGCGAGGTTGAATCCGGTTTTAATAATTCGGTTTTATCA